CAAGAAGAAAAAGGAACGTGATGATAAAGAAAGAAAGGAAGCACAACAAGTGAAACTGAATCTTTTGAACATGTAATGATCCTTTTAATTTCAGTATTCTTCGTTTTGTAATTTTCTCTTTATAAATGAAAGTTTGTTTTGCACATATCTTGAGTATTCTTTTTCTTTAAATTCAGTAAATCTCATAGATCTTCATGTAAACTCATCTATAGGGCTGTTTTGTAATAAAATCTCCTTTAAAGGACATCATTCAGCCTTGTAGAAAGAGAGTAGGCTTTGGCATCATCAAAAAGGGGGAATTTGTTAGGAACAAATGTAATTAGATTTTGATGATACCAAACTAACTAAGATTGTAAACCCCTACTTTTCCTTTCGTAGTTAGGACTCTTGTGACAATTGAAAGCTATTGTACTCAACGATTGATTAAACTATGAGGTGTACGAATCTTAGTTGAGACTAGTGATAAGAGTCTAAAAGTTTATAATTTCACATTGCATTTAAGCTTATTTTCCTTGTTATTTGTTATAATTTTGTCCGAAGTATCCTCATTTGATTCATTTGTGTGCTTATGAGTAATTCTTGATGATTTAGATGAATTGAGTGATTTTTGGGGCATTTCAGATGCATGTAGAGTCAACTCTCTCTATAATTGTGTCTAAATGTGGAGGTCTTGATTCATTAAAAAAGTTGGTTTGTTGTTCTACTACCCAAAAAAAAAAAAAAAACAAAAAAAAAAAAGTCATGAAAATGTTGAAAAGATATGAAGATGTGAAAAAGAAGAACTTCAATAAAAGTTTGTTAGTTTGCTTTGAAAATTATTCTCAACCTCCACTACTTTAGAGTGTTGTTTTGTGTTTAGTTGTTAGTTGCTCCTTAGTTCTTTGATGTCATATCTCTTCCAATATCAATTGTGAATAAGTGCAAAGTTCTCTCTTTTGTTTGATTTCCTTACCCCTTCTTTGTCAACCATTCACCCTTAGCCTCATTACAAGCCTAATAAAAGTCCTACTTGATCTTAGCATGCAATCTTAGAGTTGAACTAGTGGGAGTATGAAGGGCAAGCCTATGGAATCTCATTCAAAAAGTCAAGTTTTGCATAATCTCAACTTAGTATTTGTGCACACTTGATCCTCACGCTCTATGATAATCTTGGTGCTTGGTTATTGGCTTGAGAATGGAACTTGTGTGGAATGCTAAGATGATTCTTGAAACAAGTTGTGTTGTGTCGAGTTGGATTGTGGTTTGTTAAGTTGGGCACAGTGGGAGTATGACCAACTTCAGTACTATATTGGTGGTTTAGTCCTTGTTTTTGCTTGAGGACAAGCAAAGGTTTAAGTGTGGGGGAGTTGATAAGAGTCTAAAAGTTTATAATTTCACATTGCATTTAAGCTTATTTTCCTTGTTATTTGTTATAATTTTGTCCGAAGTATCCTCATTTGATTCATTTGTGTGCTTATGAGTAATTCATGATGATTTAGATGAATTGAGTGATTTTTGGGGCATTTCAGATGCATGTAGAGTCAATGGGAGTCAATGAGAAGCTATGAAGATGGAGAAACACCTTTTAGAGAGCCAAATTATGGTGTGTTTATTGGTCTTGGTCATTTGGACAAACAAAGGCAAAAGTGGAGCAAAAGAGCAAGAAGTTGAAATTTCCGCACAAATCGTCCACTGCTCGGTTTTTTGATCATATCTCTGCGTAGGAATGTCCAAACCAAGTGAATTTTATATCATTGGAAAGCTAACTTGAAGGGCTATAACTTTGATTCAAGCACCAAAGGCTAATTCAAAGGCTTTGAGGGTGAAAACTGGCCTAGAAGACGACTTCAGTGCACAGGCAGTGCACACTGCCTGTGGCCACGGGTCTGGCCACGGCCGTGGCCACACCCGTGGCCACTGGGCAGTGTGCCCTGCATTTCTGGCCACGGGTGAAGCCACGCCCGTGGCCAGCCCTCTGCAACTTTTTGCAGCCTGTTTTTTACCCTTTTAAGAGGATTTTTCCACCCCAAAACATAATTTTCATTACATCTTTCATTTCCCTTTCATTTCTCTAGTGAGGGTTAGTTTAGAATAGCTTAGATTAGTGTAGATTTGTGTTTCCTTTCCATTTCCAAGCTCAAGAACATTGCAAACCTTGGATTTCAAGGCTTCAATAGAGAAGTTTTCTTATTCATCTCTTCTCTTTACTTTTCATCTATGCTTTCAATTTCTCTTTTAATATTGTGTATCTATTGTTATATTATGAGTAGCTAAGTGTTTTGGGACTAGGATTTGGTTCGATTTCTTGCTATTGATGCCTATTTGAGTTGTATTGCATAAAAGGGATTATTTGGGTGATCTAGGGTTGTTGTGTGAAATGGGTTTGTTGAGAAATTTGTGTATGATTGTTGGATCCCAATTATATGCTTGATTTGGAGTGTGTTTGTTGCTACGAGAGTAGAGCTTGTACACTAGCCACACATTCACACACTTAATACCCAATACGAGAGTATTTTGGGTGTTAAGGGGAATCTTTGCCTTGTGTTCTTGTTTGGGCATCGTTGGGTTGAATTGTCACGAGAGTGGAGTTCAATATGAGGTTGCAAGTCCAAATAGCTACGAGAGTGGTATTTGGACACTTTTGTGCATCTCACTTACCCTATGCCTTGATTGAATTCCCTAAACCTTAGTACAATATTTGGCATCTTAGCTTGAATCAATCAAATCCCGGTCTTTTGTTTTACTTGTTCTATTTGTTATTAGTATAATCATATCAAACCAACTCCTTACCAATAGGTCTAGCTTCTAAAAGAATAGTTCTAGCTTGTGCTTAACTCCGCTTTGCAATCAATTCCTAACATTACAAGAGCCATCTCCAGTGGAACGATATCTAAACTCGATACTGTGATTTGATACTTGATGGATGTGTGAAAACCGTCATCATCAACTAGCATAATAGGTCTACTTGAAAACACGAAGATAACAAGATGGTCGAAAGATGATTGCAGACGAAATATGGATTGAGCAACTCTCGGATAGATATCTCTCTACAAAATGGATCTCATCATAAGTCAAAAGATAAGGACAATATTTCGAAGATCTTCTCCGAGAAAACAAGTTTAAGATAAACTTGTAAAGACAACCTTCATTAAAAATAAAGAAAGAAGAATGTTGTCTCATGAATGCGCAATCATTCGGACAAAAGGTGTCCTAGGAATGATTTTCACAAAAGACAAGGAGCATTAATTCCGTTGTGCATTAAAAGTTTCTTACAAAATTGTGCAAAGCATATATCTAAGACGAAACCTTAATTCCGTTGTGCATCGCTCCGAAATGACCAACTTTGAAAAATCGATTAGAGTCTATTCACCCCCCCCCCCCCCCCCCCCTCTAGACTCTCTTTTGACCCTACCGGGACCAACAAAGTTACTGGAAATATATATATAAAAAAATTGTATATATATGTTGCAGAAATATGATTATGTAAAGATATATATTTAAAAATGAAAAATGGAATAGAATCATTTAGTATCAACAATTTATAAGGAAAATTTTGTAATTAAAGATGGAAAAGGTTTTGCAAATACGAGATGGAAATATAAGGTTTAGCCAAAATTTGAATGAATATTAATCGAGATGGAAATTAATAATTTTTACACCAAATGTTATTTTATACTAAGAATATAAGGATTGTGTAATTATAAGGTTTAGCCAAGTATGTCAACAAAAAATAAGGTTTAGCCGGGATGAAAAAAATATTAATCTCAGTTATATATTTTATAAAATGTAAAGTTACTTGAAATATTTAAAAAATTCTGTATATATATGTTACTGGAAGTATAGTTATATAAAGATATATATTATATTTATAAATGGAAAAAAATGAATAGAATCGTTTAGTATCCACAATTTATAAGGAAAATTGTGTAATTAAAGATGGAAATGTTCTTGCAATACGTATGAATGATTCAAAAGAAATTAATTATGACTGATTTTGTAACATATCTTTATCCAAAACCATGGGACCTCATTACAATGGGTATATATAAAGATGTGTAATTATGTGTAGAATGTGTAAGGAAATTAAATATGATCCCCATATATAATTCATTGAACACTGATATTTAAAATCTCTAAAGTTTTAGCACCAGATGCGTATATCTACCCATTGACTACGGATGCGTACATCTACACATTGACTATTAATTGGACAATTATTTGATCAAATTCAAGCAATGATAACATCATAAAAATACAATCGATCCAACTCGATTCTTCAATTGCATTATATAATATTCGATGTAATAATTTATATAATTATATATCGATCCAAATATTATTAAAATATTTTAACAAATTCATTCCGTGCAACGCATAGGCGAAAATACTAGTATATATAGAATTAATTTCTTTTTGCTCTAATCCCTCATTTAATTATGAAATCTTAAATTTAGAGTCCAACAATGGTTAGTTGCATAAAATTCGCAATCAGGAGGAGAGGGAGAATACAATTTTACCTTAAATACAACTCAACTCATTCTTGAAAATCCCTAAAACTCCTGCAAACCTTCGATCAGCTTGTAGGATACGATGGGCGGCGCATCGGAGAAGACGCAACCTCTTCTTCTTCCCCAAGATATTCTCGTCGGAATCCTCTCCAAGCTCCCCGCTAAATCGCTAGTACGATTCAGGTGCGTTTCTAAATTCTTTTGCGCTCTCATAGCCGACCATGGCTTTGGCGTTCTGCATCGCAGCTTGTCCTTGACACTTCCCACTAGGGCGGGCATCCTCATCGCTATCATACAGCCAAAGCGGCTCTCCTCCCGTTCCTCCCATGTGTATTACACCATAAATTTCAGCCAAGGGCAGCCGGGAATGCTCCAAGCCAACCGTCTCGGCTACTTGGACGCTGAACCATTTCTGGAAGGCTGTCTACACTCCTCCTCGGATGGCCTGATTTGTATGTCCAGACCCAATGGAGACGTCGTTGTTTGCAACGTTTGCACGGGACAACGTACGTATTTCCCTTCCGACAATCCAATTCCACTTCCCCCATCCATCTTTATCCTGTGCACAGTTGGGGTTTGATTCACAATCTAAAAGATACAAGGTTTTGATGTCAGCCTGTATGATTGATCGAGGCAGCACGCCCATCCGCTTCGAGTATAAGCATTGGGTTTTGACTGTGGGAGTGGACAAATCATGGAGGGAGATCAACTACCCCTTTTCCTACCCCTTCTACCCCTTTGATGACTATGCCTGCTTTAACTTCTGCTATGATACTAGTGTCTACATTGACGGCGTTATCTATTTCTATAATTGGCTCACTAAAGTTGATTGTCCTAGCTTCCACATAGTAGCATTTGAAGTTGGGTCTGAGACTTATTTTTTGATACCATTTCCAACTGAACTATCATCATTATGGGAATATTATGTAGTTTTATCTTCAGCTTGGGAAAAAAATCACTTTCTTAACCAAAATTTTGCATTTCTACAAGTTGATGGAGGTCGACTGGCTATGGTTCGTGTTCGCCCAAGAGAATTCTACATGGATGTTTGGACTTGGGAGAAATCTAAGGAATGCTGGGAGAACATTACTATGACCATTCCATTAGAAGAGGGACTTAGGAGCACATTCCTGCGTCATACTACAAATCATGATGGGGAGATTGTGTTGTTATTTATGAATAGTGAACGGCTTTCCATTTTGATTTGTAATTTGAACACTGAGGTTTGGAGACAATTTGATTTGGGTGGAGTTGAGGAATTTCCAGAAGAAGTTAGAATGTACGGGACCATGGACAATGTGTTTTCTTTGGAGTAGTTGACAAGCGTGGTCTGATATGCTTGGGAAAAATGAGTGCTTCAATTCACAGGATTAATATTTCATTTTTATATATTAGTAAGGTTGTCCATTACACTACGGATATGTAACTTTGCAAGGGGGCGAGGCAATCCCTTTAGTTTATTTGAAGCTAAAGGTTTGAGAAAACAATATAATGCCCATTTTTGGGATTCTTGCTGAACTTCATGTGCAAACAATTGTTGGATTAGTATTTCTCACATGATACGAATTGAAGTATTTATTTCTCACATTATTTTTGCTAAAATTATAAATCCCTATTTTTGTTGATATATATATATATATTATTTATTTTAATTTATCGACTTATTTCCACCTACAATCGTAATTAAGGTGAAAATAAGGGACCGCCTACGAATTATTAAAAAACAAAAAACCATTTTAAAAGAAAAATAATTTTTTTGTTAGTATATACAGAATATCATGTTGTCAAAGTAATTTTCCAATTTTTTTATCGAATTGGCTAGATATGGATTGCATGGTCTCACTATTCTATAAGAAAAATGCACGACCACTAATTAAAGGTATATGCACAATAAATTTTATTTATGTATAATAGCTAGTAAATTACACAAAACTAGTAAACCCTCTCCAGAGTCTCATTATTCTAGTTTGAAGTTTTGATATGATGGAACAGGTAAATTAGGAATATGCTTCAATAGAATTATAGAATACATTTTTTCTGTTGTAATTCGCCCTATCAACTCGTTGGTTCTCGCGTGATGTTTGCACGGTAATGCTTGGAGATTGTATGTATATGAGTATATAGAATAGATAAGTAAAAGGGGAGGAAGAACACAATGTATAGAACACAATCACATGAGACCATCTTTTCATTAAGCTTTCACCCTCAATTTATAGGGATGATTACAACCTTTCACATCCTTTAACATAAGTAATGAAATAAGTAAAGGCTAACAAAAGGTCACAAGTTTAATGGTCATAATAATAAAATATTTATAACACTTCCCCTTGGCCATTAAATAATTATACTCATGCCTCGTTAAAAACCTCGCTAGAAAAACCTAGACGAGGACAAAGAGTACACGAAGTATGTTGATCCATGTGTTGCATCGGTTGCCTCATTAAAAACCTTAGCCTAAGAAAAAATCCAGTGGGAAAAAACTTAGCTAGCCAAGGAAAAGAGTACAACCATAAACCTTCTGGGCATAATCTCCAAGATTTCAAGAGTCTTCAGGACTATTCACTCAAGTGCACCGACATCGGTTGCCTCATTAAAAACCTTAGCTTGAGAAAACCCTGGGGGGAAAACTTAGCTAAGGGAAAAAACCTTAGCTTGAGAAAACCCAGTGGGAAAAACTTAGCTAAGGGAAAAAAAGTACAACCATATGCTTTCGTAGCATAATCTTCAAGATATCAAAAGTCCTCTAGATTTTCCATTTTAACACAGCTAGGGGTTGTCGCTCCCCCTGAAGATAACATTCTTCTAAGCCTACGCATCCCAATTTTAGGCAGAGACTTAGTGAACATATATGCAAGATTCTTCAGTGGGGCAAACATTCTCAACAAGAATTTTACAACTCTTCTAGAGTTCGTGTGTGTAGAAGGACTTAGGTGCAACATGTTTTGTAAGGTTCCCCTTAAAAAAACTATTACTTGCTTGTGCAACACAATCTTATTTGTCCTCATATGGGGCATTGGGGGTAAAAATATAACATAACCAGTTTTGGACTTGGCATCATAGGGATCAAATAAAAGAACCAGTGCTCAAGTAGCCCATCAAGACCACATATGGGTTTCTCACATAAACGTCAAAAACTTTGTACCTCGAAGGTGCTGAAGGATATGTTAAAATACCATTCCAATTTTCATTGTAGGGGGGAACACTAAATGTTGCTAGCAATTTCATTCGCAAATTCAATATCAAGCCTGATGCGATTATGGAACTTCTAGTTCAATAATAGTGCTCCAAAAGTAATGAAGTAATGGACTTCCAGTCCCTAAATATCCTCATTATAATCTTCATGTCTAAATGGTCATTTATCTACTTCAAGAGATTATTGGGCAACCGTTTGTGTGATAAATAAATACTACTTGTCTATATAAAACATCTTCAAGATATTCTTCAAGTAAGCTAAATGGTGTATAAAACTTCTTCAAGGAGAAGCTCGATCTTCAGGTCGAGACAATACTTGGATTTCCAAGTCTTTTATTTCAAAACTTCGTCTTTCGACATGAGCTGACATCACCAAGCTCTCTATGTGTTTCAATAACATTTAAATCATCATTACCAACTGAGATAATAAACAAATAACTCCATTAACAATTCTTTAACGAACACATAATGGTACATATTTGCATATTCCTTCTTCGGGAGGAAAACACTCAGTCAATAATGTTCAAAGTCATACAAAGACTTTAGTAGTTTAATGATACTCGTTGCCATTTTCACTTTCCTAATTTCAAAAGTGTTGAATCCATCAGGGATTTACAAATAAATATTAGTGTCTAATGACCAGTAATTAGTTTGCGGTCATGATACTCATCAACTGCATATCTAAATTTATAATTCACTGCCAATGATGTTAATTTGCGGAACGTAATGCCATCTGTTATGGGAGAGAACATTTGATCAAAATCAATTTAGGGTCTCTGCGAAAACCCTTAAGCTACCAGTCTCGCTTTATATCATACCACCAGATTATTTGTATTTCTCTTTTGTACAAACACCCATTTGTAACCTTCAGGGTTAACATTAAATGGTGTACATGTTATAAAGAGAATGCAGTTTTAGCGAGTTGAGCTGTATATGCCTTAATTGCCCTTTTATACATAAAAAAAAAAAAAAAATCATGGCCACTACTGTGCCTAGCTCTGGATCCAGATTCTCATATACTAAGAGCAATTTATAAGGCAATTGTGTTGTCGACAACTATAACATTTTTCATAAATTTCTCCCATATATATAAAATAATGGCAATTTCTAATTCAACCAGACTCTAGCCATTTCTCAAAGATATTTTTATCTGGTCGTTCCGCATCCATAGTATTATGATTTTGGGTGCACCTATAATTTTATTGGAATTTTTCACATTCCAGACGAATGTCTTCTGGACGAATATCTGCAGGACATACTTAGCTTCTTTAAGCGATTTCAAGAGTGACGAAATTTTCTACTAGATATAGCTTTCCGCGGATTCTTGTCTTTTATACCAACATGTCTCCACGCTTCTGGTGTCAAGGAGCATTGTAAATACATACGGTCCAAGTTCGGGAAGATACATGGGACCAAGTCACTCTTTTTATCAGTATATATATTGGCAGATTAATTATCTTCTGAACTTGCAGTTCAGTTTACTTCTTATGAACTTCTAGTTCAGTCAACCTAGTACGTGGATTCAAATATTGAAGATCAATCATTCATAGAATTTCTCAACATTCTATAAAATTTGAGCTCTTATCTCCCCCTAATGCTGTGAAATGATCTTCATAAAGTGTGCAGTCAACGTACATAATTATATATTGATCCCTTATAATGGGCTCTAAAGATTTAAATATCAGACGGAAGTTCATAATTAACATATACATGCCCACAATGTACGCTATGGTGGTGATATAGGAAAAGGCTGCACATTGTGAATAAAACGCAGATGGAAAATGTTTGATTTTATACCACGTACTAGGTGTTAGGGGGAATACTTATGATATGCAGCAGGCCAGATTGTGATAACAACAATAACATATAAAATTGATGTCCCCAACAAGAAAATATATAATTGCCCAAGGCGATGCACTAGCTCATGCTATACTATAAAATCATGTGGGTATTTAAAGCCTTTAAAAGTACATAGCAATATATGAAGTACCCAAAACACATATGCAATCATCTAAGAGTAACACATATAATCAGATATGAAAGCATACATATCAAATGATATTATAAGGGTACACAACAATCATAAGGAAGTTGGAAGCTTGTCAAATAAAATAGATCTTCAGGATCTCCCAAAAATCCTTATCCTCAACTTTACATTAGTTCACTGACTGGTTTGGGAATTGCTTCGTGCAAATTTCCATGATATAATTCACTCCCTCATTTGTTTCGGACAAACTGATATGAAATAATTTATTCCTTCGTTTGCTTCGGGCAAATTGATATGATATAATTCATTCTCTCATTTGTTTCGGACAAACTGATATGATATAATTCGCTTCTGTCTTCCAAACCAATAACATCTAAATTAATCATATCATGTATGGCATTAGTCAAAGATCATTCTTATAAAGGAGTATACCACTCCTTAAACAGCACAGAATTGCACTAAGCCATAGTCGGAGAGGGATTTGTCTTGTTGACATCTTAAATTTAGTCAAAAGATGATTATCATAATTTGTTGATAATAGCAATCCTTCCGGGATTGATATAGGACTTATGGAACAAATAATATTCAACTTTGAATTAGCATCGAGTCAATTGCATACGAGAGTCATGATTGTATGCATGAGAAAAACTTCCATAAATAAGCATGCAAACTAAAAAAGTAACTTCAAGAAGTAAACTTCTTCCCCGGAAAATAAAGTCCGGGAAGTAAATATCATTCGAAAATTAAAATTTCAAAAAGTACGATTAGAAAGTTAAGCTCAGGGGGCAAGCTTAGAGAAGTAAACTTTATGAATAGACCCTTCAAGTAGTAAAAATAGCAAGGAAAATAAGCAAAGTAAAATCACTTTGCATTCATCATAATTTGCATCCAAAAATAACTTTGCACTCAAAGACACTTTTGGAGTATATATACTTCTCGGCCACGCAATAAATACTGCGGCCATGAATTAACTTTTCGGGTGCTTCAGGCATAAACTAACTTCTCGGATGCTTCGAGCATGAGCTAACTTCTCAGATGCTTCAAGCATGAGCTAACTTCTCGGATGCTTCATGCTTCTAGCATGGACTAACTTTTTCAGCCATGAATATATTTTCATGAATTACTCAAACATTATCATGACACCAATCATTCTTCATTAATACCTCATCATTTCATTATCATCATTTATCGCGGTATTTGCTTCAGGCAAATTACCTAGAATCATCAAGATGAGGCGCATTCTTCGACGACCAAATGCTTTGGTGTGCAGCACGTAGGGATCAATGCCCTTCAAACCCACATTGTTAGCAAACCTGCTTCTGGCTAGGATCTTGCCTCGATGAGCTTGGTCGTCCTTGAATATCTTGATCACTTTGTTTCTTATTCTGAGCTCGAAACTCATACCACACCGGTTATAATCTCGATCGCAACCCCTTATAAAGTTACTCAACTAGGTAACTGTTGAGATTAACAAGCACCAGAAACATAATAATGGTCGTAAAGAAGAAAAGATTTACGTGGTTCGGCAATGTGCAAACATCCACGGGAGTGAAAGTATTCTCTTATTATTTGTGATGGTGATCCAGGTGATGAGATACATTCAATATATTTATATGCATATAATATCCCTTTCACTCCTATTCCTTATATGAGACAAACTCATATTCCTAATCCTTATATGAGACAAACACAACAAATCTCCACCTTGGCGAATATGCTCTCTCGGAGAAAAGATAACTCAACAAATCTCCACCTTGGTGAATATGCCCTTTAGGAGAAAATACTAATCCAACCATCTCCACCTTCGCAAATAAGCCCTTTAGGATGAAAAACTCATCTCATAGTCTCCCTGGAATAGGACCACCATGTTCATCTAACATCTGAAAACACCCAACAAGTCCAAACAAAGTTTGAACTTGTCACTAGTAACCGCCTTGGTCAACATGTCTGCTGCATTCTCACTTGTATGAATTTTCTGCAACAAAATCTCACCCGAAACAACCAACTCTCTGACCTTATGAAACCTTACATCAATATGTTTGGTTCTGGCATGGTATACTTGATTTTTAGCTAAGAAAATGGCACTTTGATTGTCACAGTGTAATTGAACTCCATCTTGCTCAATACCCAACTCCTTAATCAAACCTGAAAGTCACAAAGCCTCTTTAGCTGCCTCAGTCACAGCCATGTATTCTGCTTTAGTTGTAGACAAAGCTACAATAGACTGAACTGATGATCTCCAGCAAACAGGACCACCCCCAAGAGTAAAAACATACCCTATTGTAGAACGTCTATTATCCATGTCTCCAGCATAATCAGAATCCACATATCACATGAGTGTTGGCAAATCAAAATCCAACTAGAAGAGCTCAAAAGGCTTGAATCAAGCCCGAGCTCGCGTGCGCCGGCACCTGCGGGGCTAAGTTATGCCAAACTTCGGTATCATTTTCCATCTGTTATAGTCACTTGGCTCGGCCGAAGCCGAGAGCACCACTCTCGTGCTACAGAGAGCACGAGAGGTTGTGGTGCACCGAGAGCAAAACTCTCGTGAAACGGTGAATACGAGAGGTGTACTCTCGTATTGCACCACAGCACGAGAGCTGTACTTTCGTGTTGTATCACAACACGAGAGTGGGTACTCTCGTGCACCCCAACGGTCAGAAACCCGAAAAGTTCATCCTGTTGTACAGATTAAACTCATCTGTTACGGAATTAATACTTTTTTTAATTCCAATTTTAAATTCTGAGTTTAATCCTACTTAGTGGGTGACCGTTACAGGTGTTATACAATTGGTTTAATACCAATTAAAGGCCATGTTGAATGCTATCCCTTCCAATAGCCCTATATAAAGGGAGGTAGAGCAGTAGCTATTTTACACAGTGAAAAACGAAAGGAATTCCAGTAGCTTTCAGCTTCAAAACTTCTGCTTCTACTCTCTTCTTTCCCCAGCCGTGTTCTAAGCTTTGCTTTGTTCGACGGGTTCCTTGTTTAGGTGCTTAAACAAGGAATCGTAGCACGTTTTATCCTGGGAAACCTAGGCTACAACGCTCCTAGCACTTGTGGGAGGTAGCAAATAAGGTTTTAAGGAAAAGAACCTTACGTTCAAACTCGTGCTAAACCTTACCCAAACACTCAACCTTTTCCTTCCCAGTTTTTTCTGCTTTCCCATATAATATTAATCTTTTCGTAGGATTATTATTTTTGGAATTTTTTCAACAATACTACCCAACAATCTTAAATCCTTATTTCCGTTTCCCGTTGGTTGTTTATCTCTAATTTCCTAGAAGAAATGAAGAATCCAGTTTTGCCAGCTCTCGGGGAGGAGAATGTTGTTGAAAACAAAAATGGTGGGAATGACAATAATGTTGCTAATTCCCAAGCTACACCAGTGAACATTGGTTCACAAGATGGTGGGAGCACCGAGGGATATATTCCCATGACTCGGGTACCTACGGTACCAAGTGGTTCGGCCGAAAGACCGGAGAAGTTCACCGGTAGTGGATCGAACTTCAAAAGGTGCCAACAAAAGATGTTGTTCTACCTGGCAACTCTCGGCTTGGCGAGATTCTTGACCGAGACGGTTCCCGAATTAAGGGAACAGGATGCCCAACCTGTGATGGCAGTTGGCTATTGGAAGGATTCGGACTTCCTATGCCGAAACTACATCCTGAACGGATTATGTGATGCGTTATACGATGTATATCGCAAGATTGGCACAGCAGAAGCGCTGTGGGAAGCCTTGGATCATAAATACCGAAGTGAGGATGCCTGTGCAAAGAAATTTGTGGTTGGCCGATTCCTTGACTTCAAAATGGTTGATTCCAAGACCGTGCTAAGTCAAGTTGAAGATTTACAACTAATCTTTGATGAAATTTGTGACGAAGGCATGACGTTGAGTGAAGCCTTCCTAGTGGGATCTGTTATCCACTTGCTGCCTCCAGGGTGGAAGGACTTCAAGAATTACCTTAAGCATAAGCGAAAGGAAATGAACCTGGAGGACCTGATGCAGCGACTCCGAATTGAGGAGGGGAACAGGACGAATGATGGCAGAAATTCTGTCACTGTTGGCGCTAAGGCCAATGTTGTGGAGCATGCTAAAAGCTCCAAGAAGAACAAGAAGGACAAGCAGAAGCTAGGTCCGAAATGAGGCATTACCAAGAAGAAATTTCATGGAAAATGCTTCAATTGTGGCAAGTCTGGCCACAAGTCCTCTGAATGCAAAGTTCCAAAGAAGAAGAACAAGAGTTCTGAAGCCAACATGGTTGAGGAAAGCAGTCAGAAGGAGGTCGAGATTAGCCTTTCGGCTATGGTGACCGAGGTGAACCTCGTGGACTCTAACCCACGAGAGTGGTTCATCGATACTGGTGCAACAAGGCATTTGTGTTGCAACCGAGAAATGTTCAACACCTTTGAGACCATTGAGGGCGAGAAGTTTTGGATGGGAAACTCTGCTCAGTCTGCTGTGGAAGGCGTGGGCAAGGTGGTTCTGAAGATGACTTCCAGGAAGGAACTGACGTTGAATAACGTGCTGTATGAAGAATCTTGTGTCTGGCTCTCTGTTGAACAAGCATGGCTTTCGCATGGTGTTCGAGTCAGACAAGGTTGTTTTGTCTAAGTTAGGAGTGTTTGTAGGCAAAGGTTATGTAACCGATGGGCTCTTTAAGCTCAATGTAATGCCTATTACTATGAATAAAAGCAAAGTTACTTCCGTTTACTTGCTTGAGTCTTCCAATTTGTGGCATGGTAGACTAGGTCACGTTAATTATAATTCTATGCGTAGATTAATTAACTTGAACCATATTCCTAATTTCCAAATTAACACAAATAACAAATGTGAAATTTGTGTTGAGGCAAAACTAACGAAAGTACCTTTCAATTAATCTATAGTGATTTGTGCGATTTTAGATCGATATAAACGAGAGGTGGTAATAAATATTTTATCACGTTTATCGACGATAGCACACGTTATTGCTATGTGTATTTGCTTAAGAGCAAAGACGAAGCCTTGGAAAAATTCATTCTTTATAAGAATGAAGTTGAAAACCAACTTAATCGTAAGATTAAGAAAGTTAGAAGCGATAGAGGTGGTGAGTACGAAGCACCTATTGGATGAGAGTTTAAAATGATTAGCCAAAGGGGTACTAACCGGTTTAGACTTACTCATCCCAAACCTGTCAAGAATTTTCTCTATATAACTCTGTTGAGTTAGCCACAACTTTCTTGCACCTCTATCCCTGTGAATTTCCATGCCAAGAATTTTCTGTGCAACTCCTATGTCTTTCATATCACATTCCTGACCCAACGAAACTTTCAATGCAGTAATATCATCCATACTCTTAGCAACAATCAACATATCATCCACATACAGTAAGAGAAAAATAAAAGAACCATCATCAAGGCTTTTAACATAAACACAACAATCATACTCATAACGTGTATAGCCAATTTGAATCATGTAAGCATCGAACCGCTTGTACCACTG